GTCAATTGATTGACATTTTATAAGGGAAAAACCTGAAACTCCCTCTACTATATGATAACTACACACTTTGTTATCTCCCCTCCCTGACAGCTGTCGACACCTCCCCTCCGTCCTCCCAGCCAGGGTGAAGGTAGTTTTAGGCTTAAAGTTTTATCTTATAAAATGTCGCTGACTAGAAGTAGCAGAATATAACTTTCAATGCTGGAATCCTTGTAAGATAATGGTTAATTTGAGTACAAACATCACATAGTTTGCACGAGTTAAATTTTTTAATCGTGTAGTACATTTGAGTACAGTGTGTGTACAGTAATGTTGCTCAAAATTTTGGCTTTTTCACATTTAATTTACATTTACTATTTGTTTAATTTAAGCTTCAAGTAGTCCATGGTGCTTTAGAGACACAGGAGGTGTATCATTAGTGGGTCAGAGGTGTATCGTTGATTTATTATTACCTGACCTCGGTTGGTCTAGCAAAACGGATAATCCGGAAAGGCTTTGGAACCAAGGGTGCTAGAAAATTGGTGGTGTACCTGTATCTTGATAATTTTTGTTAAAGAAGTATTTAGAATCAAAAGAAAACAGTGTGAGGAAATGGCTCAAAAATCAAGGAAGAACAGGGAAGCCTTGCAGCAACAAAAACAGAAGCATTTACTCCCCCTGAAAAAATTAGCCGTTGCAATTAAAACTAAGAATAAAACAAAACCAAATGAGTGAATAGAACATGGAAAATAAAACTAAGTATTTTGTTTGTATATATAATGGAACATGCTTATTTTTCTTATTATAGTACAACATATAATATTGGAACCCCAGTTGCTGGTGCATAAATCCCTTTGGTAAATATTAAATTTTGAATTCTCACACAATACAGTGCAAAAAAAAGCTTACCTTTTAGTTCATCTTCTCTCAGTAATAGTGCACAATTAAAATTTTTAAACAAGTTCAAGTTTGATAAGTCTTATTCCCTTTTGAGGTTTGATTTCATTGGAGGTTCAAAAGAGAAATGAGATTGTCACAATTTTCTACCAGTCTGAAAGGGAAAGGAAAATTTAAAGAATGCTTCTCCCATCAGTTTCCTTCTTTAGTTTACAGCAGAATATAAGTCAGTATGGGAATTTTCAGGGAAGAGTACTGTTGATAGTGAATTTACAGTTGGAAGATTTTCCTTCAAATGCTAAAGAAATTTTTAAAGTACCCTGTACTGTGTATCCTTGAAAATACGGCCCAATATGATTCCTTCAAGTTTGTGATTGTAATGATGCAGTCACATTGTCCTTTAAAAGTTAAGGTTGATTGCTCTACCTGTAAGGGCTTGGGACCAGAGTTGGTCGATTTAAATCAATGGTTTAAACCAATCAATAATTGTTTTTGTTTAATCTGCCTTGTTTCTTGGTTTTAATGTTTTTTTATTACTTACATATGGTTTTAATTATTTATAGTAGATTTAGTAAAGGCATATGATAGGGTAAACGATAAAGCATTGTGGGAGGCATTACAAGTGTGTGGGTGGGAGGAAGGCTGTTAAATGCAGTAAAAGCATTCTGTGAGAACAGCTTGGCAACAGTAAGTAAATAGGAAAGTGAAACATTTGTAATATATGTAGGTGTTAGACAGGGATGCTGTATGTCCCCGTGGTTGTTCAGTATATACATGGATGTGAACTATTATACACAAGTGAAAATGAGCATAATAAGTTTTCTTAACAGTGCTGCACTCTGTTCAGTATAACTGGTGACTGTTTCCATTTATGATTGGGCTCTGAGCCCAATCATAAACCAATGGTTTTTGCCAACACTGCTCGGAACTATTTAATTTATACAGTACAGTAGTTTTGTGATGAGTCTAATGTGCTTGTTTATTACCTCAGGGTGTTGAGTCCAGTTTACATAAATTCAGAGCTTAAGAATACCTGCAAAGGAGACTTCATTATACATTGCATTTCATTTCTATAGTATATTTTTGTAAATCATGCAACCAGTCACTGAATGTACTTATAGAAGACAAAACATAGCTCACTGGCACTTGTTTATACATGTAGATTCTTTTAAATAGTATTGAAATTAAAAGAGTTTTCCTTTCTCCCCAACCAAAGGTTCTTGCTGACAACTGTGGTGCATCTGATCAAGAAACACTCTCTAACTTGTTGGCAGCCCACACTGAGGGAAAAACAAATGCAGGATTTGATTGTGAGGGTAATGGATCAAATGTTATTGATGCATCAGAGAAGGAAATCTATGATCTCTACCTTACCAAATACTGGGCTTTGAAATATGCTACTTCAGCAGCGAATCAAATCCTTCGCGTTGATCAGATTATTATGGCAAAGCGAGCTGGTGGACCGAAGTCGAGAGGAATGGGTCCACAGGATCCTGATGATGATTAGTCACAATTGCCAGCTAATGTTCTTTTGCACTATAGAATTATATTTCACAGCCTGTGTTAATGGTTTTCTCTCCTATTTCTTGGCTGCCTTACAAGAATTAACACAAGTTGATAAAGGAAAGTAACATTTTTAACATGCTTAATAAGTTTCCAAGCAGGTATACAGTAGTGCTTATTAAACTACCTAATTTCAGCAGCCCCTGGAAAGTGCGAACAAACTCTATTGTTAAAAGATGGACCATAATGTGGGTTTCCTATACCAGTGCTGTCATCCACAGTGTGATGTGTTCTCTGCGACTGGTGCTTTTTATATAAAGTATGTAATGCAGCTTTAATTTATTTTATTGATCCTAATATTGTTAAGTGTACAGACATGAATAAATACAAGGGTAGAAAATGTCCTTAGTTTACTGTTCAAAGGCTTACTTTGTCAAGAAGATACCTTTTATAAGCCTGTGATGGATATATGCTGAAAATACTTTTGTTCATATTGACTGTAATGTCTTGCCTTGAAGAATCGGCCCTCTCCTCTGAGCAGGAGAGGAGCGTCATGCGGGCTGTTGTGATCAGTCAGGTGACCTCTCCTGACAGTGTTACTAACTCAGCGTGTACAATGTGAATAACTACTGAGCCATTGTTGAATAACTTCGTGAATAATTTGGTGTTATCCATTTGGGTGAATATTTATATAATGCAATGGTGCTGTTACACCACTCAGCCTCCTCCAACTGAGTCCTCACGGTTTAAATTCTAGGTGTACCTAACCTTGTTACAATAAAGTGTGCTTTAGCTAACCTTTTGCTGCTTGCACATGCTTTTTGCAATTCCTTCCAGAAAGTTTTCGTAGAAACTATTATGTACCTAGAAGAGATCTTTCTGTAACAAATTATCATAACAATCAAGGAACTGATAAATATGAGGTCAGGTATAATGAAACCAGGTAGGATTATACTGGAAGATAAATATAAAGGAAGAGAATCTTGTAAGTCAGGAAACTGTGTATCATTAATGTAAGATAGGAATTTAAGCTTATCAGATACAATATGAAGACTACTGAAATTTATATTCAGGAAAAAATGATATGGGTACCAGTTCAGAAGTAACGCTTGTGACAAATGCAAGATGATGGCGAGTAGGCCCTTTTTTATTACCACGGGGATTAGCCCACCTGGGCACAAGTCACTGACCCACATCGGGGCTGGGGAGGGGGATGTAATAATTATTCATAGTAAATAAAATTTATAATAAAAACAAAAATAATAATAACACTAATAATAATAAATAAAAAAAAAATAAATCAATTGAGAAACGCTATACTGTATGTGTGTGTTGTGTTGTCAAGTAAGAGAAACAATTGAGACCTGCAATTGTGTGTAAATGAGGCAGAAAGTCAGATCGGCAACCTGGGACTTGGTCACAATTTTTGTGTTGTCATATGGCAGCAGAGTCTACCATTAGACAACACATTATGCTTCCAATATCTTCCCAGGCGGTAGTAGTACCTCCGTGACTGCATTACTGCTAATTTCACAATACTGTAGTCTGGTGCTATATGATAACCTTCCACTACTAAATGTTTACCTACATCCTGGCATATAAGTTTCACTGGTATGATTTGGAAAATAGAAATATTGCACAGTATTGTCATGTGCGTGAAACACTAACCTATGTGGTATTGGAGCATATGTACATTGTTGTACAGCTGTAGAAGCATTAGTTTGTACTATAGCTAATTCACATGTAGCTTCTGCAGCCCGGGAGAAAGCAAAAGCCTAAGCAGGACATACATGTAAGTGTAAGTATGTTGACTTACAATGATTTAGGACTGCATGCTCAGTCACAGCAACTAATGAAAAATCTTCTGAAACTACTATTAGTTCAGTTTGTTCAGAATTAAAGGATCGTCATTCGCTTTAAATGGAAATGGTTCCAAGTGTCAAGCATAAAAAAATGATTTTAGTGGAATGTGTATTAGTATATTCCACTTGATTCTCCTGAAAGATAGGAGTTAGATGATATTTAGTTTCAGCTATAAGTAAAGGGCAATAAGTTGACCAACTGACAACAACTGTGCATCAACATGACCTAACCCTGCATTCACTAGATCAGCTATGAGCCTACTGTTGGTTTCTATGAAAGCTTGTAAAGAGGCTTCAGCTGCATGCATATATTCTGTAAAGCAGAGTAGCCATTCCAGTGTAGATTCTGACCATGTGAATCCCTGAACAAAGGTGTGTTAGTTGATTAGTTTTGTCAACGATAGCATTCATTTGAGAGGTCAGAGTTTGTACTACCTTGTAGGACTGTTCAATGGCCCTATTTTGTTTCTTAACCACTTCTGAAACCATATTCATTCATTTCCTTAGTTTAGCTACATCTTCGGCGGTTGCCATACCAAACAGAGTGTTACTTATTAAACCAACAGAGTTAAATGGACCACATTTTTGACGCTGCTGAGAATGTATATTCTTCCCAATGTCTTAAGGAGATACAGGGAGCTTTCCCTCGAAGTGATTTACTCATTTGAGTAGACTAATCATAAGGTCGTTCTGAAGCGAGATGGTCTGTCAGTGTTGTAGAGATGGTAGATTATTGTTTGAGATCTTGCAAGGTGTGTATTACTCTTTCAATGTGGACAGCTATTGACCTCAGGTGCATTGGCATGCCCACTAAATCATGGAGCTTGTACTTGACAGTTACAAAGTCTTGTACTAGAAGTACTTTGCCTAGTGGGGCAACTAAAGCTCTGGGTTTGACGACGTCTACTGTTGTCACCATGCTCCAGACCAACAGGAGTAGTGATAGCCAAGCCATGTGTGAAAGAGGCGAGGAAAATTAAAGATTTTTGTTTGCTGATCATAGTTTTTGACGTTATGTATTGTCCATTATATTTTGTTGAGCTTCTGTTGTAGTAGAAGTAGGATGTACTTGATATACATTAGGAGTCCCTACTAAGTCTCTGCTGACCTTTTTCATTCTATCTACATGTACTATATCTGACATTTGTAGTTGGCTCAACTACTTGGAATTTGTTTCTATGTTCTTTTGCTTTAATCACGTACGGACCTGTGAATTTAGGCAAAAGTTTTGATATGTGTTCCGGTGCTTTTATCATTACTATGTCTCCTATTTCTAGAGTTACAGGTTTTGCATTTTTATATTGCTTCCAGATCATTTCAGCACTTGAGGCCGCTAAATGTTTTCGTACTTTTCCAAGGGGGATGCTTGTGAAAACATTTATTTGCTTCTTGGCATAGTCACCCATGTTATACACAGGTTGTGGGGTTCCTGCTAGTATATCATATGGCAAGTGTTTATCGGTACCGTAAATTATGTAGTACAGTGGTCCCTCGGTTAACGAAATTTCGGTTAACGAATTACCTTCCATAAGAATCTTCAATTCGGTTAACTAAAAAAAATTGGATTAACGAAATCCTTACGAAAATCACGTTTTGTTTTGAATATTGGCTGATAAGCTGAGGAGCTACTCAGCCAATTCAGTAATCTCTTCTATGTTTACATTCGTTTCCATTGGAGTAAATATCAAGAAAATTGTGATCTTTAATATTTGTGCATTTTTTTATACAGTATTAAAGTTATTGGTCATTCTAAAATTTAGCCATCCAAACTTTGTCTACATAAAGTTTTTCAGCTATTATTTTTGGCTCAATATATGTAACTATTCATTTATTGAAACTCATTTACATGCACACACTGTCCTAAAGGCAAAGCTGAACTGTACATGTAATCAGAATAATGTACAAAATGATTACTAAAATTTTTGTCAAATGCAAACTGTGGCGTGTTTACATTCAAATTAATCAATATCTTAAAAGAATTCCAGCAATGCAAATTAAATTCACCCCATTCACTTCTATTAAATTTTATAAGCAAAAAACAAAAACTCAATCTAAAGGACATAAATTAACAATTAAATACTTCACACCTCCATGCCAACTGTCAAACATGTCACTGTCACCCCTCCCTCCCTACCCCCCACCTTCCCAAGAAAGGTTTGGGGGTTTTCAGAAGGCTAAGTTTTAGGCATATATAATATCTTGGACTAAAGTTAGGAGAATATAATTTGCTTTGCTGTAATCTTTGCAAGACAGCGAATTATTTGAATATAAACGTCATATAATTTGCAGAAAAGATAAAATTTTTGCTCTGTAATAAAATTCTTAAATTATATCTAAATTTTTATGTCTAATGCAAATTATAGCTTGTTTATATTCAAATTAATCACTACAGTGGTCCCTCGGTTAACGAGCACAATCCGTTCCAGCAGGTTGCTCGTTAACCGAAACCATTGTTTCAAAGGGTTTTTGGGTAATTGGTTCCAGCTCACCGAAAATTGCCTAAATTCAACAAAAAAGGTAGAAAATTACACTTACTTTGAGGTGTGTATGTAGAAGGCTCCTGGATGATGGGAATTAGAATGGGGAAGAAGAGAAGGCATTGGGGTGGAAGAGAAGTCACCCCATGGCGCCATTTCACCCATAAAATTTTAGTTCTCTTGGTGTAATTCAAGATTATTTTCTTTAAATCAACACTGCACTGCATTATATATTGTCAATATGTAAAATAAATTTCAAAATGACCAATAATTTGCTTGCAAACAGAAAAAAGCATTTAGTTGAAGAGAGTCTCAAGCAAGATGTTACCTCCACTGAAAAGAGAGAGAGACAAACGCCTGTATGGTGTGTTAACAGGCTGGATGGCACGCCAGAAACTAGTTTCTTTACCTTCACTTATGTTCAATAATTGTTAAAATGACTAAAAAAGTTAATATTAAACTTATAAAATTATTGAATAGTATAAACTTCTTGATATTTTCTAAAATAGTAAGGAATTTAAGCCGTAAAACCGATTACTGTATTGGCGGACTAATATTACAGCTGGTGGACCGCCAAATGCAAGCGAAAACATGTTGAGGTCGGCTCGTAAGAAACTCGTTAATTGAGGGATTGCTGGTTAACCGAAGTTAAGAATCTTATGGAAGGTAACTCGTTAACCGAAATCTGGTTAACCGAGGGTTCGTTGGTTCGAATCCTGGCGGGTTGAGGTGTTGATTGTATGTAGAAGTCCGCGTGCTTTATTGGGCTAATGAAATATATATGGATCCTCGTGTTTCGAAGCTGGATTTGATAAACGTTACTCTGACCACCTACGTGATACGGGTAGTCCCCATTAGAGGTTCACGGCACCATAAGCTCGTTGAACAGGCTGTGTGTGAAATATAACAAAGTCTAGGACTGCTTTTAGTATCCTGGTGGTCCAGCGGTTAGCGTTCCCCGGTCACAGTCATGGGCTCGTGGGCCGTGGGTTCG